CCAGCAAGGCAGCCCCGCCGCAGTTTCCCAGGTGGGGCATCTGAGAAGACAGGGCACTTTTTTTGACAGAGTTCCTGAGTTCGTGGGATTCGGAGGCAGACATCACTGCCAGCCGTCAGACCACTCTCAGGACCAGGCTCAGAATCCACGGTGCGTCCCCCAGCCTGTCCTTAATCCTCTGACTCCCAGAACACACGGGCTTCTGCGGAAAACACAAACACACCAGACCTTCGTCACCTCCCCAGGCTGAGTTCACATTTCCCCATCCGCTCCCACTGAATCCTCTGCCCAGCCGACCACAAATTCGGAGGTTCCCACACCCACTTCAGAACAACTGAACAACTCCCAGAACTCAGGGTAACGCTTTCCTTATGTTCGCTGGTTTATTATAAGGGGTCCAGGTCAGTAACAGCCACCTGCAAGAGAGGCACAGAGCAAGGTGAGGGGAAGGGGCCCAGAGCCCCTCTCTCTGCACATAGATGTGTCCAGCCACCCAGGGTCTCTCCAAACCTCCCCGGAGTCTGGGGGACGGGCTGGAAGTGCCAACCCTGTGGTCTCATGGTTGGTGCCCCCATCATGAAGCTGTCCGGGCCCCCAGCCACCAGTCACCTCGTGAACGTACAAAAACAAATAAATTCAAGAATTGTAGGACCTCTGTGCCAAGAAAGGAACAAAGACCAAATATGTATTTTGTATTTTACCGGAGGGTCCATGTGTCCATTGTCCATGGAGGGTAGAACATATTACCTCCTTTACAGTACAGCCCCTCTGTGGCACACGCATACACCCTACACGTGTGTTCACACACACACACACCCCACATGTGCACGCACCCCACTCGTGTGCACGCATATGCTCCACACACGTGCACACATACATCCCACACATGTGTGCATACACCACACATGCACACACATGTTACACACTTATATGAACATATACACACCACTTAGGTGCCCTTACAAAATAAGAAATGTGAACAGAACGGTTCCTGGGATCTCCGCTGGCTCCCGGTAGACGGCGCAGCATGGGCGGAGACGGGGAAGACACAGACAGACAAGGTGGTACCTGGAAGTCACAATTGCAGTTGTGAGGTTCAGCTTCGGTAGTGTCTGTCAGCGAGCGAATACTTACTGTGCAAGAGTCCAGTGACTCAGAGGCTTCACTTGGGTCCAGTCAGGGTTATTGTACAACTTTGGATTTGCAAATCCATATCCAGACTGATGTATGAAAGCCATTTCTCCCAGCGACGCGTGAATGCCTCCGTCATGGCGAGCTGTGGTACAGCCACGGGGCCGAAGCTCCCCAGGGCTCCTTTTCTTCTACCGGGCACCCCTCCCTGTGGCTCACCCAGCCACCCCCTGTCCTCCGCAGGGCTCCGTCCACAATGAGCTCACACCACGCCGTCCTGAGTGCGTGCCTGAGGAGTGGCTTCTGGAAACCAAGAATGGTGACATATGCAGCATTTACCCAAGCTAAGAGCCAAAGCAGAGCTAGGAACAGAAGTGGTGCCCGCTAATTCTGACCCCGGGGATGGAGAGAAGCATCCGGGATCCAGGAGGCAGAGGCTGGGGGAGGGAAGCAAGGCAGAGAAGAGGTGCATTTACAGGCCCAGGTGTCCAGTGTTGACAGCCACTCAACTGCAATCCACTCCCACAGCACCTCGGCTCTGCTGGGGACGGCTTCCCTGTGGGTCAGAGTCTTCCAACCTCCCTGCACCTGCTTCCTGGGCTGGAGGCACCACGGCGCTGGGAAAGTGAATGTGTTTCCTTTTGTAAAATTATGAACAAGTACGTATTACACATATGTCATAATATATAATACCTTTGTTCAAATGATAGTCAAGTTTGGGGCCAGATGGTTTTTCAAACGCATTCACATATAAATCATTCTATCTTTTTTTTTTTAAGATTTTATTTACTTATTTGACATAGAGACACACAGCGAGAGAGGGAACACAGCAGGGGGAGAGGGAGAAGGAGAAGCAGGCTTCCCGCGGAGCAGGGAGCCCGAAGCGGGGCTCGATCCCAGGACCCTGGGATCATGACCTGAGCCGAAGGCAGATGCTTAACTAACTGAGCCACCCATGTGCCCCTAAATCATGCTATCTTTTAATTTTATTCCCATAAGCCTAGATTTGATTTGATAGCCTGAGAACAGAGGTGGAGAAATCTTTAAATTATCTGGTACCTGACATTTTATTTTTCTCCAACTTTTTATTATGGAAAAATTTCAAACATCCAGAGAAGGGGACACATTGTACAGCTCCCTGCTGTCCCCCAGCCCACTCCAACCACTGATTTTGTCCTACCGACTTCACGTGCCATATTGTTTTTGCTGAGTCATCTGAAAACAAGTTTTAGACACCAAGATATTGGTCTCCTAGAAATAAGGCCATTCTTCCAGATGAGCATCGAGCTATTATCACACTCAATTCATGCTACCAATGAGTCAGTGACATCATTCAACACTCCGTCCATCCCGAGATGTCCTCCCAATCTCTCTTGCTGCCAGGTGTCGATCAGGCCCATGCTGGTTGTTAGAAACGGTGCTTCTCTTGGCTGTTTTTATCCTAGGACCAATCCCACCCTTCTCCTGACATTGACGTGTTTGAGGGATGTCGAATGCTTGGCTCTCTGCACCTGTCTGGTCCTTTCTCCCGGTGTCCTTTACCAGATGCTCTATCCCTTCTTTTTCCTGTAACCTGGAAGTGAAGGCTACAGGCTTGGCCTTTGACTCAAGGGAAGTATTTACTGCAAGAACACAGCAACGGTGGTTTCGTGTGCTGGATTTTGCATCCCCTGATGTCAGGCTGGCCCCACACGGGTGATGCTGAGTTTGAATCCCCGTGAAGGCGCTGACAGATGTCTCCGATGGAAGTGGAGCGTGTTTTTTCTTTCCCAGGTAGCACTGTGTGATTGACATGCTTTCACACTGCCTCGTTGTTCCACTCGGTAATTTCACTGAGGAATCCAGAATGCAGAGCTCCAAATTCCCCCATTCCTTCTACATTTATGAGCTGGCATTCCCTGTAAAGAGCTTTCCCTCGTTAATTAGGGAGGCAGAGTGGGAGACTTATCCAGCAGACCCTTAGGGAGGCCTGGTTTTCTGGAGAGAAGTAGAGAGAGAATATGGTCTCTCAGGGCTGTGTGGGGGCCCAGAGGGCCCCCCAGTCAGGGTCCAGTGTCTGATCCTGATAGCCCAGGGAGGGAGGAGCAGGTGGGGCACCGCTTCAGTGAGAGAGGTGTGTGTGGGGAGAGCAATCAGGAGGGGAATCTTTGGGGGAAAGGAGTATTTTTGAAAAAGGATTTTTCGGAATGCCTCTATGTCAGATCCTCGTGTCTCCCTTGGGGCGCCTGCAATAAAAAGCCCCATTGTTTTTCAGGCTTTGGGAGTCCCGTTCTGAGGCTGGTTTTGGAGGCATCCCCAGACCTCAGGTTGTCCTGTTCAGTCTGGATTTCAGAACCTGCCCAGTGAATGGAGACGGGGTGCAATCATGGCAAGCTTCAGCCAATAACCAGTGATTTCATACAGTGCAAAGCAACTAGTTTAAAGAATTGCTGATGAACCAACTGACTGGTCGGGTGGAGACATGGAGGTCAGGACGCTGTACTGTCCCCTGGCTCTGGCAGGTGGCCAAAGCAGCAGGTTTCTCTTCTCCTTTGTTTGGCTTGAAGCTGGAGGAGGCGCGGTCGATCCCACTTACAATTTGGGACAGAAGTGGCTCCCCAGAGCTTGCACAAGACATGCTGAGTCCATTTGGAAGGCCACTGTGTCGATGGAACTTACAGCAGATATGGCCCACTGGATTAAGTGGCAGCAAGGACAGGGCAGGGGCAGCCTGCTCTGAGCCCCCAGGGCAGGCCAGAGCTCTGTGGCGCCCCCGCCCCATGTTCTCCAGGGCTCCAGTTTCTCTACGGGGAAAACACACAAGAGCAGCAAAGTGCAAAATATGCCAGGCGCCCATCAGGGCTCAAACTCCCCCTAAATAAGCATTTGCTCCCAGCTCTAGGGGAAGGTGGGACAGGCTTCCTTCTTTGGAAGCAGGAGGACTCCAGATCTGGGGCAGGTACCTGAGGGAGACCCTTCCCCCACATCCTCCCACCTGGCTCCTGGTACCCCTGCACCCCTATTCTGTCTGCCCAGGGAGGTGCACCCTTGCTGTGGGTAACAGGCCAGGGGTTCCCTCCTGCCTCTCTTTTTCTTCTTCCTCCCTCTCCCCACCATGCCCCAAAAGTTTCTAGGGTTGGTTGCTGTGTGCATTCACCTGGCCTTTACTTTCTTTCTCCAGTGGAAAATTCTGTAGTCTAGTCACCTCCGTGGGTATTCTTCTTTGGAAGCACTTTGTCAGGGCTATTTTATGCATCCATGCAAGAGGGTCCATCTCTGTGGGGACAGCAGCCCCAGAGATGGGCCCACAGGTCCAGGAGCTGGGCAGCCCTGTGTGGGGTGGGCCTGGGGGCCACAGCCAGCGCCCAAGCATGCTAACCCAGAACCAGTGGAAAGGCAATTTGAAAAGGAAATTATCAAGATCACTTCCACAGTAAGGATGATGATGATGATGATGATATCATCATCATCATCATCAGCCCAAACCCTTGCTAGGAGCTCGCCCAAGGGCGCAGGGTCAGAATGCCGGCCTGGGGCAGGGGCTTGGGAGCAGCTGAGGCCGGGGGACTGATGGGCCGGGAAGAGGAGTAGGAATGGTGAGGGGGGCGAGCGCAGGGGAAGGGAGAGGGAGGGGCGAGGAACGAGGAGGTGGGACCTGGGGCGGGGAGATGGGGGGGCGCGGAGAGACGGGGAGATGAGGAGGAGACGCGGGAGGTGAGAGGGGCCGCGGGGAGGAGGGTCGGGGAGGTGGAGATGGGGTAGGGGACTTGAGCGATTAGGGAGGTGGGCGTTCGGGAGCGCGGAGGAAGTAGGGAGGGGGCGCCGGGAGGGCGGGGAGCTGGGGGCGGTGGGGCGGAGCGCCGCCCCGCCCCTAAGGGCCTCTGGAAAAGTTTGCGCTCTGGCTTGCGCGCGCAGAGGCTGAGCCAGCCGGTCCTGGGGACACGCGACGGGAGCGCGGCGCCAGGAGGAGCCCGAGCGACAGCCCCGGGCCGGGACCGACTGCCCCCCTCTCCAGCCCCAAGACTCTCCCTGTGCCCCAGTCCCCGCCCCCTGAGCGGAGGAAGGGTCCCCAGGATGCGGGTGGCCCAAGTGCCCTTTCCAGACAGAGGTGAGTCGGTGGGGCAGGGGTTGCGAGTCCGGGGCGCCCAGCCTGGGTAGGTGGGGTGGGGGCCGCTGGGCCCACTTTTCTCACCAAATTCCAGCCTATCCCTGGCGTGACTGTACCTGGCCCAAGGAGACACCACGTCCCCATCAGCCCCTCATCCAGGCCATCCATTCCGGTGATGGCCCCAGCGGGGGAAAGGGAATGGTTCTTTTTTCCACTCTAGTGATGAGAGCCATTGACCAGCCAGAGCCAGGGGAGAGGGAATGGTTCCTTTTTAACTACAGTGGGAAGGTCCAGACTGAGCTGCACCTTCATGACCTGAAGGAGACATAAGTGGCTCTTCCCAGAGAAGTCCCCTCTGTCCTTTTCCTGGAATAACTGAAAAGTTAGGCAGCCTCACCCTCCCAGGATGAGGACCTGGGGGCTCTGGGAGTGTGTGGTTGTCGTCGTTCTCCTGAGAAAACCGTTCTTTTAAATGATATTCGCCACAAAATTCCACGGTTTTCTTCTGTTTCTTGAAGTAGGCAGTCAGGACTGTCAGAGTCAGGGCTGGAAGATAAAGCCCCTACTTTTGCAATCGTGAGGTTCCCACGTGCTGCATTCACAGCTGGATAAAGCCTGGAGAAGGGACGGGACATGTCCTTCTTTGGCCCGATGCTACTAGCTTTGCTGTTTCTAACCACCCCGGCTCCACACAGTCTGTGTCTCTCTCTTTCTCTCTCTTCTGGTGCTGGCCACTCCCGGTGACATATTTCTTTGTGGGTTTTTATATTTAGATGTAAGAGAGGAACTTGTTGGGGGTTTAAAGGGAACACATTTTGTTAGGAAGATAAAGCAAGGCGAGTGGCACGAACACGGGGCTCTCCTGGAGGATAATTTCAAAAGTGGAGGGTCCACCCTGCCCACGGTACCCACCCCCCCGGAGCCCTGACGACTTCCAGAATGAGGCATCTTTCTAAAGTCTGGAGGCCAGAGGCTGCAGACACTCGCTGTAGACACACACCTTCCTCATTCATCTTTGCAACATTCTTGGTCAGAAGTTGCAAACACTCAATGTAGTGGCATTCTTGCAGGCGTGGTTAAGAAAAACAGTTCCTAGAAGTACCGGGCAGGATTAGGTCCTGCGGGTGCATGATGGACACGGCGGACGGCCCTGCCTGTGGCTGGGGTGGTGGCGGGCATGTTGTCCTTGAGGAGTCGTGCAAGTGTCTGGCTCTGGAGGAGTTCTCAGGGAACTGATGCAGAGTTCCATCCAGAATGACTAATTCTGTGGCCATAGGAGGACCACCCAGTGGGTTTTCTCAGTCAGCAACCTTCACATCCTGCCGGTCTGCTTGTTCCGTCAACTGACACGAGAGACTGCACATCAGCCCTCAGGAGCCTCCTGTGAAGATGCGGCTGGGATGGATTCTCCCCCAGCCTCACCTTCGTAGATGCTGCTTTCCTCTTTAGGTTTCTGAATTTCGTAAAGTGCGTGGCTCTCCTAATTTTCTACCACGTGTGGATGGTAGAAACTGGCATCTCCTGAAGAAGGAGCCTCACACGTTGGCCTAACAATGTTCTCAAAATGCAGGGGCTGATTTCCTCCTTTCTCTGGAAATTACTGATGTAATTTCCTGCGGTGTCTTTTCCCTCCTCCTACACACACTTCGATACCTACAGTGTGTGCATGTGTTTCTGTGATGGAAAAATGAGAATTGGGGCATGCCGTCATCTTGCAGATCTGGGGCTTGCCCTACTGTGAAGCCCCCTCTCCTTCTGCAGGACTCGGCGCTGGAGCCGGGCGCTGACACCGCCGGCCGGGCCGAGGGCCGCCTGCGCTGGTAGTTGGAACCACTGCGCTGTGCTTCCCGGGGCCTTTCTGTTCCCCCCACGTGGCGTCCTCATTCCTGCCTTATCAGTCTGCAGCCACTTCTTATGATTCCTTTGCACCCATTTTCTGCTGAATTAATGAACTGCCTGAGGAGACGTTCCAGGAGCTTTCCGAGGTAACAGGACGTGCTCAGCGAACTCCATCCAGTGCCGAGACTCCGGCGCTCCGGTGACGGTGTGACCGTGCCAGGCACGGTCAGCCTCTGTTCTGTGTCGTTTTCCTCCTATCGCTGTGGCTGCGTCTGTAGGAGGCCCGGCGGCAGGCCAGCCCGGTGAGCCCCGTGCGCTGGAGCGAGGCCTGAGCCGGTCGGTGGGGCTCCTGGGCCTTGCAGATGCTGCTTCACGTCCCCAGCGTCAGGTTTCCGCTCGTGTCAGCAGTCCAGCACTTGGCGAGCCTGCTGGTGACACTCCTGTCACCGCCGTCTAGGTGAAGACCATGGCGGGGCGGGGGGCGGACGCTCTAGAAGAGTGAGCCCCTGCTGTGGCGCGTGGGAATCAGATGACCCAGCCATCCAGCCCAGCGCTGCCTCAGCTTCCCTCTGTGTACACTCAGAAGGCAGATGCCGCCATGGGGACAGACGGGGTGCCTGCAAGGGACATTGTGGGCCGTGTCACCGTGGCTCCAGGAACCGGCGGGAGGGACCCCACAGTTAGGACTTCTTGGGCCAGATGTCTCTTATTTGCATAGGCCCTTAGCTGCGGAGGAGCTCGTTCCCACACACCTTCGTTCATCCCACGGCAATCTGGGCAGGAGTCCAATCCCGTTACTAAGAACAGGCAGAGAAGGGAGAGTCTGAAAAGTCTGGTTGAAGAGCAGAGGGTAAGGCCTCTTGTGTCAAGATCGGTTGCCTTACAATGGACAAGCCCGGGCACCCAGGCGAGCGAGCACGGAGGCAGCCCCTGGGGCTTGTGCCTGGGCTCCTGCTGGCCACCCCACGTCCATGCGCTCGCGGGACTGCACCCGATCTGTGTTAACACCCGCACCTTCCCTGCCCGAGAGAGTCCCGTGCGGGAAAGCCGCCGGGGAGCGGGGAGCCCGCTCATCCCAGTGACCTCACCGGGGGCTCAGGGCCTAGGCTCCCAGCAGAGTGCAGGCGTGCGGGGCCGTGTGTGCGAGGCCTCTTGCTGGAAGCAACCTCTGAAAGCCCCGCTGGGTTGCTCAGAAATATGGGGCAAGGGGAAATATTCATTAGCAAAGGAATTTCCTGGGGCGTCGACATGGCCAGCGCGGCCTTTCTTTCCTAAATTCTTGTAAACAACAACAAAACACTGCTTTCCAGGAAATTTTGCTGGTTGGCAAATGCTTGGTGTTTCGGTTCAGTTTGGAGGATGGACTCGTTGGTTTCCCTGGGAAAACGTGCCTTTCACAAACAGCACCCTGTGTCTGATCGGGAGAAATTCCTCACTGTCCTCTCGTGCTTTTCTTGTTCGCTGTGACCGAGAGGGAGAGAGACCCCAGACTTTGTGGAAATATTTCCCTTTACTTTTTTCTTTTCCTTCTTTTTATAGTTTGTTTATTTTTCAAGTTGACATGTGTAGAGAAAGTAAGTTACTAGTGCAGAGAGCACATCTGGAACCCATCGGCCGCCCGGGCCGCCCCTCCCCGCGGACGCGCCTCCCTGGAACGGAGGGACGGCAGCCTCACCGGTGCGACGCGGTCTAACCTGGGTGACCACGGCGGGGACGCCTTCTAGAAGGTGCTTCTCCCAGTGCCCGTCCCACGCAGCAGCTTCTGGCTCAGGCCCGGCGCTCTGAGACGTACAAGACTACCGTCCTCAGCACTGGCCTCTATTTCTGACTTGTTCGGGGGAAATCAAGCAGTGATCAGACTCTTACAACAAAAAGTCAGATGGTGGTCCCTGACAGGCCCCCGATGCTTAACTTTTAAAATAAAGAAAAACGTGAGCATTTGTAATGTGTACGTCTTGCCCCCATGGGGACTTCTCCAGCTAGCCGAGTGCCGTTAGTCTCTGCGGGGACCCTCTGCACCAAAGCCCCTCCTAGACAGTAGCACGACGCTCAGAAACCCAAGGCAGCCCATGGATCCACAGACACGAGCTCACGAGGATGCCCCCACCCAGGCCCCGCAGCGCTTGTTAGGACAGCGACCTGTCGAAACCCCGTGTCCACAGACGGGAGCAGGAATTACCAGCATCCGAATGCACCTCCACCTAGGACTCGGGTGAGCATCACGTCGGCAGAAAGACGCCAGGCACGTTTGTAGGCTATGGGGCCCCACTTACGTGAAGGTCGGAAACAGGCTCCTGCCCTCGAGGGGGTGAGAAGCCAGCCAGCGGTCCCTTTGGGGGTCGGTGGTGGCTGGGACGGGTGGAACAGGCTGGCCTCCCAGGAGCTGTGCTCACAGTGCCCAGCACTCCTCAGGATGCATGTGGCCGAGAGCTGATGCCCCACCTGGTCCCAAGCCGGGCTGGCCGCTCCGAGCTGGGGGGCGGAGGGGCAGAGTGTTCTTTCCGCATATTCAGGTCCTGCTGCGCCCCTGAGAGGTGGGGGCAGAACTCCTTGATGCTTTTGACCACAAGTAACAGCACTCAGACACATCCAAAATCAACCTGGCCTTTGGCCCAGCACGTAACTCTTGGGGCGGAGTCTACGTTCTAATGTTGGTAATCCAAAGAAAATAAGCTCTTAGATTCTAAAAGAGCCAGATGTCTTCCAGTTACGAAAAATGCGGAGAGTAGCATTTAGCAAGAGATGTTCTGGAAAAAATGTGCTCTTTGAGTGATGAATATTTAATCAAGGGAAATGATAAATCAAGCGTTAGTAGGAAAAATACATTCACCCTCAAAATGCATGGTTTGGGTGGCTCTCCGGCGCATCTTACACTATTTTCATTGTGCTGGTTCTGCTGCTGGGTATCGCCTTCATTGTTTGCTTGTTTTCCTGCCCTGCTCAGTTCTTTCAAAGCCCTGCCTGTGCCGCGAAGAAAAGTCCTTCACTTGTCTGTCCTTGCTCTTTACGTCCAGGCGGTCCAGGTCCAGCGGGTTTATGGGCACACGCGTCCCTGTCCTTGCTCATGGCCCCAGCGCGGGGGTGGGGTGCGTGCAGAGGGAGGGATGTACGTGGCGGGGAGTTATCCTGGGGAAACAGGCACAGCCGAGAAGCCGAAGTTGTACTGTGGTTTCCAAACCTTTCGGATGTGGCTGCTTGGAGCGAATTCACGAACAATTCACATTCCTCGCCCTTTCAGGTAACACGCGTGTTTCTGCAATTCAGACCGTGTGGGTGCTCACTCACTCATGATCGCAAGTCATGCTCACCACATGCGTGTCGTCGTTGCTGGGACGGGAGCCCCTGGTGGGGGGGAACAGGACTAGTTGACAGAGTGGCCGCCGGCGCGTGGCACCGGGCTGCCTGGCGTGGGGCGTGTGGAGGCCTCGGGTCTGCGGCGTGGACCCAGCGCCGGCAGGGAAGTAGCCGTTCCCCGGCCGCTGCTCCCTCCGCTCTCGGTGGGGCTGGCTGTGCTCTGGGCTCTGCCCGGGGCCCGGACGGCAGAGTGAGGCCGTGGCGGCTCCATTCGCGGCTCACAGATAAAGACTCAGCTGACAAGCAGCAGGGAAGAGCAGGGCGTTCGTGGGGCACCCGTGAGCGGACGGGCGCGGTGCCCCCGATGCGGTGTGAGTGTGAAGCGGGCCCCCGCAGGCCGCAGGCTCAGAGGTGGTCAGCTGCGGCATTATTTACACTCCTGAAACGACAGCCTGCGATTTGTTGTAAAAAGTGGCGAGTGGGCTCAGGGAGGCCTGGAGGGGCTGGGCTGACTCCAGAATGTTGCAGAGCAGGAGGAATTTGACTCAGGGCGTGAAGGACAGGCCGGAGTTAGAGAAAGGCGCAGGAACGGCAGCAGGGGCCGGCGGGACAGTGGCCCACCGAGCCGACCCGTGCGTCTCCAGGGGCATCTACTGACCTGCGTGCAACGCGCAGGCGGCCCCCGGAGGCCAGGGCCCACGGGGTTTCTGGAACAGCCGCGCATGCAAGCTCCGGCACATTGGGAGAAGTCTCTGCAGCAAAGGAACAGAGCGGCTCTTTCTGACCTCAGAGAACCGAGCCCCCTGATGGAGGGGGGGATCTGACAGCCTCCCAGGCCCCACCAGTGCCCGCAGGGCCGGGAAACAGTGACCTAGAGGGAGTGGGGGACCCACGGAGTTTCTCTCCTTCTCGTCCGAGAGCAGCCACCCACGCTGTGCCCCTGAGTCCTTCCAGGACTGAGACCCTCTTGGGCCTTCTTGGTACCTAGCAAGATCCCACCACACCCCAAAATGCAGAGCCCATATCATTTGGGGAGCTGTCTGTCTCTGAACCCAACTTAGGGCTATGGCTTAAACGTTGTAAAAGTAAAAAAATACTCATCACTGGACACTCAGAGGGCTGTTTTAAGCTAATCTCATTTGATTGTAGCAGATATTGAAGCATATATTTCTAATTTAAAATCAGTGGGTCCACTGAACGCCACGTCCAGCTGTGACCTCACACGAGGTGATGAGCACGGCCCCAGGTGGGGGTGGGAAGTATCTGGAGGGGAGGGGAGATTAAATCCAAGGCCTTCGAGGGCCTGGCCCTTGGCTTCCCACCTTCACTGTGTCCCTAGACCCCCAGGTGGGTCGTTTCTTTCTGTTCGTTTGCACGGCTTCAGTTTTGGGGGTTCAGACAGTTTGATCTGAACTCTGAGTTTTCAGCCATGTCCAGAGCCCGAGTGCTCATCCCTGCCCTTCCTCCCATCACCCCTGTGGAGGTACGGGTTTGGGTTCTGCTCTGCCTCACACTGCCCTTCCTTCCGTGGCTGCGTGGCCCTGTCTCCGGCCTCTCCTGGGGGCCGTCGGGACCCGACTCTGTCCCCAGCCCTGGTCCCAGGGATGCTGTCAGGGCTGCAGGTGCTTCACCACGTGGCTTCAGGCTCACCAGGGGGGCTTCCTGGAGGCGTCATTCCGGTTCCATCCTATTGCATTGTCCTGGGATGATCCTGTCTGTCTCCTGGTCGCGGGGAATCATGGTTTGGCAGCTCCAGTGCGGTGGATCAAGGATGCACAGTTAGCACTCACGAGTGCCTTGGGATTCCCCGATGGATGTTTATTCGGTCTGTGTGTCGTTGTTACATGAGTGAACGACCGTGGCACTCACGCACTGATCTCCCTCCCGGGGGCTGCAGACACCAAGTGGCTTCCCGTGGCCGCCTCAGCCCCCGGGGAGCTCTGGGCCCCTGCGTGACCAGCCGTTTGCACACTTGCGGAGTTCGGGTGCCTTCCTCCAACTCTGCTGTGGCCGCTGCCCCTGGGTGGTCCCTGATCACCTTCATCGCTGGGCACCCCTCTTTTCTCTTTGCAGGCTCCTGCTGTGCACGCCCTGGCTGGGATCCGGCCCGGGCCACCCCTGAAGCCTGAGCCGGAGCCTGTTCTCCCGAGATGGACATGCCCAGGGCGCCCTCTGGTGGGATCCGGAGCTGAGCCTCTGTGCGCCTGAGCCATGGCCACGGTCCTGACGCCGCGCCCCAAGCCCGGGAACCAGACCCTGTACGAGCACTACAGCTATGTGGGCAAGCTGGAGGGCAGGCTGAAGGAGGCCCCCGAGGGCAGCATGCTCACCACCGTGCTGTTCCTGATCATCTGCAGCCTCATCGTGCTGGAGAACCTCATGGTTCTCATCGCCATCTGGAAGAACAATAAATTCCACAATCGCATGTACTTCTTCATCGGCAACCTGGCTCTCTGTGACCTGCTGGCCGGCATCGCCTACAAGGTCAACATTCTGATGTCAGGCAAGAGGACGCTGAGCCTGTCTCCAACGGTCTGGTTCCTGCGGGAAGGCAGCATGTTCGTGGCCCTCGGGGCGTCCACCTGCAGCTTGCTGGCCATCGCGATCGAGCGGCACTTGACTATGATCAAAATGAGGCCGTACGACGCCAACAAGAAGCACCGTGTCTTCCTTCTGATCGGGATGTGCTGGCTCATCGCCTTCTCGCTGGGCGCCTTGCCCATCCTGGGCTGGAACTGCCTGCACGACCTCCCCGACTGCTCCACCATCCTGCCCCTCTACTCCAAGAAGTACATCGCCTTCTGCATCAGCATCTTCACGGCCATCCTGGCCACCATCGTGGTCTTGTACGCACGCATCTACTTCCTGGTGAAGTCCAGCAGCCGCAGGGTGGCCAGCCCGCACAACTCGGAGCGCTCCATGGCCCTGCTGCGGACCGTGGTCATCGTGGTGAGCGTGTTCATCGCCTGCTGGTCCCCGCTCTTCATTCTCTTCCTCGTCGACGTGGCCTGCAGGGTGAAGCAGTGTGCCATCCTGTTCAAGGCCCAGTGGTTCATCGTGCTGGCCGTGCTGAACTCGGCCATGAACCCCGTCATCTACACGCTGGCCAGCAAGGAGATGCGGCGGGCCTTCTTCCGGCTGGTCTGCACCTGCCTGGTCCGGGGCTGGGGTGCCCGCTCCTCGCCTGCCCAGCCTGCTCTCGATCCCAGCAGAAGCAAGTCCAGCGGTAGCAACAACAGTAGCCCCTCGCCAAAGAGCAAGGAGGACTCTCTGCAGAGAGCCGCCTCATCCTGCGTGACCGATTGGAACAAAACGGTGCAGAATGGGACCCTCCGTAAGTGAGAGCAGCGGCCTCCAGGAACGGGGATCCTTACACATCCGCGGGACAAGGGGTGCTCTGCTCACAGCCACGGTCTTATTTATTGCATGCCTCAACCCGGGAGTTCCAGAGCTGGGGCTCGGGAAACCTATTTGCCAATAGCCTGCGTAGCATGGACGGTCACTAAGGGGGGGACCCGAGGACTCGCCAGCTTATTCCACGGTAGACAGCGTGCCTTGTCCGCTTCGGCTCCTGAGTCTTCCGAACGTCCCCGGCTGCTGATGTGATCTGCCTTCCCCCAAGTCCCAGCGGCCACTCTCCGTGGTGCCTGCAGAGGGGAGGTGGTGGTGGGCCACGCAACGTACGGCGTGCTTCCCCAGACGCCACAGTGATGTTTGGGAACTTCACACTACATTGTGCACAGCGTGGATGCTGGTGTATTCGTCACGTCTGGGCTACGGAGCACTTGGTTTCCAATGTCTGCCATCCATACATGGCTCCAGTGGGGGTACGTGGTGCAGTGTCCTGCTTGAACCACCAGGTGTAAGGACGTGGCTAGAAACCAGGTACACACTCCAGTCCCAGTCTCCTCAACTGACATGAAGTCTCGTGTTCAGCAGGCTTTGCCTGAATTCCCAGAAAGCGCTGCTCCCAGGTGGGGCTCAGGTGTGTGGGGCTGACCCAGAGAGGGCAGAGAACCAGAGAGCTTTGGGAGCGGCGTCCCTGCTTCTCCTCTGTCCTGTGTCCCTGTGGAGTCTTACACACATCCAAAGCCCCGTTCCTACAGATCCCAGAAAAGCCAGCCAGGGTCCTTCAGGAGGCTGTCCCTAGGCCAACCAGGAAAATAACCCATATGAGCAGAGGACAGACACCCTAGCCGGAAGCTGGAGGCTGCAGTCTCTTTAACGTGATGGAAAGTTTGTCCTGAATTAGGAGAGGTTTACTTGATCCTGTGTGGAGTCTGATTCACTTTGATCAGAGAAGCACCGAGTCAGTGACCCCATGCTGTCCCCGTGGAGAAGCTGGGGCGGTCGGCAGCCCCCGCCCCCGCAAAGCTGACCCTGACCGTGCTGTGTCAGGAGCGCGTCTGGGATCCGGCGGTTTGCGCATTCTTCAAGGAAATATAATGATGCCGTAACCCCCCTTTTCAGTATAGGTTGGCCATGCGTCCCCGTTGGTAGGGAGTTACTTAGAAGGCGTTTCGGTGCACGCCTTCCCCAAGGATTCCACCTGCAGGACAGACCGACGAGGAGAACGTGCACACGTCTGTAGAGATCTCATAACCACAGAGTTGACGTGCTCGGTACTTGGTAGAAGCAAAACAGAGCAACCTTCAGAAGGACTCCTACTTGGGCAAGCCCACATCAGAGCCCCTGAGGTTTTCTGATTTGCTGGATGTTTCAGCTGAGTCAAGACTCAAGAGACGGCTCGATATGTTAGCTCTCTCTCGAGAAGTTGGCTCCTGCATGCACGTCCCCCTGACGGAGGAACATTCCTGTGGGTCCTGGGGGGTCTCCACATACCCACCAAAGACTTCCCTCACTTTTGTTATTGGTGAGAGAAGTCCTGTTTGTCAGCAGACGCTTGGCGTCGGCTTCCTCCCATCACTGAAAAGAGCTTATTTTCTACTCCAGTAGCGTGTCTGGAGAGTAAAGCCTGGAGAAAGGGAGGCAGTGTTTCGGAGCCACGACCTTGGGCAGCGCGTGCTCACGTAGTGAGCAAAGTGGCCGCAGGATCCCTCCGCACTGGCCCTGAGGGGCGCCGGGGGCCCTGGGTCTCTGGTGTTAGTGTTAGTGACACTTGCCCCATAACCCAGCTTCCCGTTGCAAGAACGCAGAACTTTCAAGCAGTCTGAGTGAGAAATATGCCAAAAGAGTAATTGTGTTCGTTTGAGAGATGCAGAAGATGATCAGCCCTAATTCCGCTGTGTACGGTATCCTCAGCAGGTGGTTGGGGGCGTGTAGGAGTTTCCAGGCCACAGAGGACTCGTGCATTAGATACCACTCGGTCAGTAACCTTTCCCTGCCCCGTGTGTGTTTGTTAACAAAATAAAACCAAAAGCCTGCTTATAAACCTGTCGCTGGGGGTCGGTGTGGGGGATTGTTTGCACCAGAGCCCCTGGTGGTGTGCAGGGTGGCGGCCCAGGACGGAAGCCACTCTCGGAAGCCCACGACCGTCCCCGCTGCACGTCCCCCAGGCATAGCTGGTGTCCAGGGAAGCTTCGGTGGCCAGGTTTCGGTAGGCCGGGCCATTTTGAGGCGGTTGAACCCTTCAACAGGGAGAAAATGATGCGTCCTGGCTGAAAGAGACGGGCCGTTTGGTTCTGCTCCATTTGCAACAGGAGGGAAGAGGTCAGAACCGGCCTGCTGCCCAGCATCCTCGTCGACAGAGGGCAACTTCTAGTCTGTGTGTGTGTGCAGGTGTGTCCATGTGTGTGTGCACGTGTGTGCGTGTGCGTGTCCACGCTGCATGAGGCCTGCATTGGGCATAACTAGCCCAGGGCTGATGCTCACGGAGAGATCTCGCGGCACAGCCGAGGACCGCAGCCTGCAGCCACCGCCCCGCACTCTGCCCGACGCGACCAGGCAGACGCGACCGCGAAGCCCGCCAGGAAGGCTGCGGCCAGGCCATCACTCTGACCCCCCACCCTCGGCAGAAGGGCGAGGCTCGGCAGGCGACGGCGGTGCAACAGGTCTGGGGGTATCAGAGTACCTGCTCTCCATGGGAAGGGTCCAAACGCCCCCCTCCCTCGTGAGGCAACACAAGATCCAGCACCCAAGTGAGAGGCTTTTCACACAATCCTTTATTGCTCCCAGAGTTACACTGACAGTCGTCTGAACGGCTGACCGGAGGTTATTCCGCGCTGGTGAAGAGCCTTTCGCACACATGTAACTCGGTGCATTTTATAGAAAACGTCTAATTGAATTACCAAGTCCATGCTTTGAAATTGTATCCACGAGGACAAAACCTCAACACCCGAATGTTGTTAGTGTCTAAGTCAAAATATCAAAGGGTTTGCTACATAGTCAGAAATGCACACACCACTATCCCGAAAATGAAGGCACGTTTTCTGATAACCAGTGAGAAGGAGACGTGTGGCATGGCCCCAACGGGGTGACCCCGGGGGACGCCGCGCAGGGGTCTGTGCTCCGCGGTTGCCGGCGCGCAGGGCTCGGACCCGAAGCCACGTCACTTCCTAGGAGGGAGGGGGTGCACTGAGGGCAAGGGAGGCACGGGGGCCGCTCCCCTCCCTGCCGTGCTGGGGCCTCCCGTGTCCCCCACGCCGCTCAGGCGCTCCCAGCTTTCCCGGAACAGAGCTCAGAAAGCTCCAGATTGGTTTGGTAACTCCACTGCCCAGAATCCAAACGCCGTTGAGGCATCAAAGCAGAGAATGGTGAACTGGCGACACACCCAGACAGAGACCCTCACGGCAACCCTCGTTCGTTCCACAAAACTTAGTGGAAAACAAAACACAGAGCTCTCGGATAATATTTATCAATATATATAATTTGCTATCCAAATGCTTTTTAAAAAGTAATAAATATCTCATTATTACACATGAAATTTACATGGCGTTCTCTCCGAATCCTTGGATTTTCACATCAGATGTTTAATTCTTGTTTAATTCTGAATGCAAAGAAACATTCACATACTTAATTTTTTACAATATTTATTCTGGAACAAATTTTATTCAAAAGGCAAATGAATAGAGAACATTCCACTTGCCACCGACAGTCATTACAGAAAAAGGTAATTCAGTGTTCAAAGATGGATATGCCCATTTATTTCCGCTGTGTTGATTGCTGCTTGATTCGGTTGGACAGAAAATTTGGTGGTGGGAGAAAGATCCCAGGTGAGTGTGAGCTCCTTGGCTGTGACACGCAGGACCACACGTGCTCTCCTTACACACTGATCTCTACCTACAGCATTGCAAGGTGAGCTGCAACGTAATCTGGCACTTTGGTCCATGAGAATGGTCCTCCCAGCCCTCCAGGAGGAGCTCAAGGGTCTCCTTCATTCAGGGCATGGGGGAGGCAGGAGGAGGCCTGAGGGGGCACCGCCAGCCCCCAGTGTCCCTGCTGACACCAGCCACTGCATGTGAGGGTGTCCCGCCCCCCCGGGGCCCCCAGCCTGTCCGCCTGCTCTGGCATGCCCGCCCCACCTGCCTCCCACCTGTCTTCGAGCTCGTAAAGCCTTCACACTCTCCACATCCACCCGGGAGCCCCCGCCTCCACTGTCCTGTGGAACGTGACCATGTCAGCCATCAGGCTTGTCACACTCTCATGCCCCATGCGTGCTTGTTTCCCACGAGGAGCCAGCACTGTGCCTGCTAATAGGAACCAACGCACAGATGAGGCCAAGAGAAGTCTGGCTGGGAATCCTACAAGCCGGGCAGCGCATACAGCTGCGCTGGGCAGCCAGCTCACCCCCAGCACACCTGGGGGGGCAGCCTTGCCACACCTAACCCTTCTTGTCCTTCCGCCCTGGCCTCTGACAGACGCCGCACGCTGACGAAGGAAACCCTTCTTACCTCCATCCTCCTCCACTGTCTCCCTCCTGGCCTGTCACTTCCACAGTGCCCCCCCCCACCCCGGGGCCCTGCTCCCTTTGCACACGGGTCCCACGTCCTGCAGCATCCAGGACCCTCCCCCCATGTGTCTGCAGATGCCAAACTCTTCACATTTGCTTAACTTTCTGCTTGTCTTTGTTGGTTAAAACACCAAGACGCAGGGAGGAGTCTCGAGGTGCACGGCCAGCCTGCCCATACACACACACAGGTGTGCATCCATCCTAATCAGTGTGGGTTGACATTCAAAGTCCTGGTATAAAATTGCAGTTTTTCTGGCTGCTATAAAGTGTGCCAGTTTTAAAACTGTGCATTTGTTGCTTGCAAACTTATAAATATGTATAAACCCCATTATAAATAAATTGTGGCTGGCAGATGGCATTTTATCCTCCAGCAGTGATTGCATGGAGTTCTAAATGCTTATTAATCCTCCACTTTTAAAACTCCGAGCATGGGCTCTGGGATCTGTGACATGAGATGGTGGGAAAATAGAGTCATAAATCGGACGGGGAAAGCCCTCAGTAAGGGAGGGTTAAAGGCCGGCAGCTCACACCTGATGGTGGTTCTCCAAGTCCACGCTCCCCACCAGCATCGCTCAATTTATTAGAAATGCAAATTCTTGGTTCCTGTGCAGACCTCCAGGGGTGGGGCCCCGGGGGCACCTCGCTGCCCGTCTACTCTGGATCTGCGTAGCCCGGAGGCCTGTCGCCCTGCCGGATCCCCCGCCCCGGGAGTGTGCACAGGTGTGCACAGGGCCTGTTTTCTACCTGGGATGGGCCGGTGGCTAAATGCCGCTGGGTAAGCACTGATGTGTGTCTGGCCCCGTTTCCTGCTGTCCCTCGGCGCCATTAGTCTCCCACATCACGGTGACCTGCCCGATCATGCCCTCCTCCTCAGCTTCCTTTCCTTCCCCACCCCTGGGGTATCACCCACAGAATCGACATACAGTCAGACCCTCTTGAGGTCTGCTTCTGAAGGGCCTCAAACAGAAACACTTCCTTGTCGGTGTAAGACTCCCGTCTTTATGCCTTTTGCAAAAAGAATGAGCATAAATGCAAACCCAAGGAGGAGGGAAGAGCTATGTGCCATTTTCCATCAGGGGCTGAGCTTTATACCCAAACTGTAAAGGACCCTAATGAGTCCTGCGCTCTGTCCGAGATTCAGCCACTGTCACCACGCTCTAGCAAGTCACCTGGCCCCAGCTCCCGCACTAAAAAGGGGGTTCTGCAGCAGCACGATCCTAGAATGCTTCCTTGCTTGTTACCCTCTGGGGGGCCCTGGCACGCCCAGGCTTGCAACACCTTCCTGTAAAGTGGTTTTCCCAATTCATCTCTCTCAGGACCAATTTTTAAACTTTCACTACAGACCCAGATATTATTCTAAAACTCAGGACCGAGATTTGTCTGCGACGCACAGTGACCTAAGTGCAGTATTTCCACAATCCCCGTCCCCTTTGCTATCGGGCTGTCACCACCTGCAGAAAGGTGCAGATGGACCGCAGGTGTGTGAACACGGAGAGGGAGCCCATCACACGTGCTCATGAAGTGTCCCAGAAAGCAACTGTCCTTCCTGTTTCCGTATATTCACCAGCACCTCCGCTCCATCTCGTGGCGGGGGGGCGGGGTGCAGGGGGTGGGCCACCGCTCAGAGACACCCAGCAACAAGCGTGAGGCCACGCGGCTCTGGGGGAGGACGCCGGCGCTGCCAGGGGCAGCCTGTGATCTCGTGGGAATCGCCTTCACCTGGGGACTGATTCAGGGAAAGAAGGACCAGGACATTCGTCTCAATGTGTCACTTAAGAGAAGAAGCCACGCGGCATCTGGCAAGCCTGAAAGCAGCGCTCCATCCTTGCACCTGGGCCGTGGTCCACCCACCCATCCCAACACCCGAGATGTGAACACGGGTCACAGCCACGCGGCCGCTGGGCCCCGTGGCCTCTCGGGTATAAAAGCCTGGGAGAGGCCGCGTCCGCGCAGAGTTGGGGCGGGAGATGGTTGAATGTGTTACCAGAGAGGGACAGGGCAGTTCAGGGCCTCGAGCATCAGCGCTCGCTGAAACCACGGGTGGGCAGCCCCGCAGGGACCTGCAGGCTCCAGTGGGACGAGAAGGTCATTTGGAAGTCCCGCTCATTCACACGCCGTGGTGTGGGTGGGAGGGGCAGTGGGTGGGGGTCTCTGGGGCCACACCACAGCGGGGCCATCGTGGGCCTGTGGGACCTGCCACGCATGCCCAGCACGCCCAGAGGCCTGGGCAGGAGAGGCAGCAGGCCTCGTGCACCGAGGGCTCCGGGGGGCCGGGCACAGTGAGCAGCGAATGTACCCGGGGATTCGGGGGTCTGGGAACACAGCCCTGCCTGGCAGAGGTGCAGTCCAGGTCCAGGCAAAGGGGGGACCCAGGCTGGGCAGGGAGTAGCCAGTCTTTGCCTGGGAATCCTGAGCTCCAGGTGCAGCAGAGCCTACCTACTGCGTGGCTTAGAACGGAGGGGGGGGCACCGTGCCTCAGTTTCTCCCCCTGTGAGTGGGGCTCCCCATGATGCCCATCCCACGGCCTTGAAGGGGAGCTGCAGTGACCTGTGGAGGCCCAACACGCTTCACACAGCGGAGGGAGGAAGATGAGAGAATGGCAGCCATCTGCTGGGTCTGTTGGGTGCTCCAGCGGCTGCAGGGGTTCCCACTGGCCCTGTTGTGTTGTAAGCAATCCTGGAATCTGAACTTAAAAATACATATTTTGAATTAATATTGAAACAAATGTGATCTCCCCTCAATATTTCTAATTTTCTAAATTGATTCTCATGCAAAAAAACAGGATATATATTGCTTATCACCACTGAGATAATCACTGACTTCACAGCAGAGAGCTCTAAACCCTGCAGATGACTGTTTCTCATATCCCCAGGAGGGCAAAGAAAGCAGGTGAGCTGTCCAGGGGCTCAGGGTCCCTAACCAGCCTACTTGCCTTTAAACATTAGCATTTGGGGCGTGCCCTTAAGATTACCCAGCTGGGCCCTGCAGGCGGTCCAGAGAAAAGTAATTTTACCTATTTTTTTATATGTGTGGACACGGGCACACAGGGGTGGGACCTCTATGTATGTCTGCAGGGATGCAGGCCTTCAGAGGATGGGGCGCAGGGGGGTTCCCACAGCCGGCCCCCCACTGAACCAGCTGCTGCCCCAGCCCCGTTCAGCTCTCACTGCTTCTGGGTAACATGGAGTGGGGTATCCATACTGTGACTGAAACCAGAACCGCACCAGGAAGAGACAGTGGTCCTACATTAGTTCCAATCCATGGCAGAACATTCTGATTGAATGCCACTGTCTTCTTGGACTCACGGGATCCTCAAAGGATGAAAACTCCTAAGAAGTCCCCACACAGATCTTCGGACCTGCCCAACCCATCCTCACCCACGAGCTCCACCCCATCTACCATCCTGAACACACACCGACCCCTGAAAACAGAAATGGGGCTCATTTAACATTAGAACTTTGCAGAATCATTACTCATCAGAGTTTTCAAAATCCACCCTTAACTCCTCGTTCCTGAAGCATCGAATTTACTCCTGCCCCATGCCAGCGTGCAGAAAGTCCCGCTGCCCTGATCCAGGGCCGCCGCGGGCTGTGGGACGGCACGGGACGGGAGCCTGGGCTGTGGCCCCGCTGACAGGATGCCAACCAACAGGTAAGTCCTTCTCGCTTTTAAAAGGCGGCATCTGTTAAATCACGAGGTAACCTCAACCCAGGTGTTTTTTAAAAGTTGGGAAACACTGTCGACCTCCTGATACCAAATGACCCGGTGAGAAATCCTGGGCCCTTTCCAGGGAGCAACTGGGAAATCTGTTGCAGAGACAGCCACTTTACCCACCATCCACTCGAGAAGCAAAACCTCAAACCGATCCCCCAGACGCCCGAGTCCCCTGCCTGAGGCAAACGTGGAGCAGGAACAGCGGCCGGCGTGCGAATGTCTCGAGCGCGCACACGTGCAT